CTCAGACTGACTTAATCCCTGTGGAGTGCACAAACAGCCTGAAGCTCTCGCAGCCAAAACCTTGTTAGAAAACCCAAGGAGGCTATATTCCTTGAGAAAACCAAGCCCCCCGAAAGAGGAACAATTCATTGGTAATTACATTTTTTTGTGCATTGCTTTGAAAGCTTTTGAAATGGTAATATGTGTGTGTTTTGTTTTGTTTTGTTATGTGATAGTAGGTATATTCTGACTTTGAATATCAACTTGCTGTTTACTCATATTTGTCCACCATAAACTAAGTAATTGTAGCAGTGCAAAATACTATGGATTTTAGCTTGTAAAAATTATCTTTAACAAAGATTCTTTGTTTTCAGTTTATGTTATATATTATAACCCTGAAAGCAAGGAAAATCAGAAACCACTGGCTCATCATTAGTGTAGCTGTCCAGAGAGAGCAATTGGAAAACTTTTTTCATCATAAACCCATTGTTCTTATATTGTGCCTTTTCTGTGGATGCATTTATGTTCCTTTAATTATAAATGAATATTATTATGAAAATTATTTTTTACTGGAACATTTTGCTCTTGTATGATATGTGAATGTTATGTAGGTAACTACTGGAAACTGACCCTCCCAATACCTTGCTCGTTGTCGTTTGGAAGGGCTTAGGAGACGGGGACTGAGACCCAGTGTAGGGGATCAGCCTTACCTTGGGCCTCAGTCCTTGCCTCAACTAATTGCCTTGGTCTTTTCTTCTTTTCTTTCCTCTTCCACATCTTTATTCCTTTCTTCTATTCCATTCCTAAGGTGTGAGAGCCATGCTGAAAGAATGAAAGGTTGGCTTTGTGTGTCACATACATTCTCTTGGAGCCATTGGCACAGTATTCCCTTGGTTAATTTCCTAGCTCTTACCCCTTATGGGGGCCCGTTTCATTTCCCAATTGTATTCAGGCTCACCATGGCCAGTAATGAAGATTCTTTCCCTTTAATAGAGGCATTAAGGCTTGCCCCTTGATCAAATAGCCTATATGAATTTGATTTTGATGGATTTCCATCCCCTGCCCCTCCTTTGACCACAGCTCCGACCACTGATACTAATACCTCCTCTTCGACGCTTACGACCAACTCTAACCATTCCAAAACACCCACCCAGGTTATTACTCAGCCTCTAGAAAGCATCCCTTCCTTTTCCCCAACATTCCCCTCTTCATCTCCTGCTGCACAGTCCTCTTCAGTGTCTATCCCCTCTTCACTTATTACTACTCTTCATCCTTATTGTCCTCCCCCTTGCAGGACTACTCCACTCCACACCACCCCATCTTCTTATCCTCGTCCTTCTACTACCTCTACCTCTGCAAACCTTCTGGGTACTCTATTTGGCCCAACCAAGTGGGATCGATTCTTTGTGATTCCCCCCTCAACCCCCTGTTCTGAGAATACCCTTCTCTTTCACAGCAGTGCCTCCAGAAACAAGTAGGCAAGGTTACCTTTCACAGTCGCTGTGATCGTTCACACCTTGTTACAGTTACATCTGAATCCCAAGCTCATACACTATCTACTGTAACTGACCTTACTGGCAAACCCATTCCTGCCGAACCTCACCCCTCTTTTAATACTTGTGCAGGAACTGTTTCTATTCCCCCAAATGCTTGTCCCATGTATGACAAGGACTAGTCTGACTGAAAATTATCTACTCTCTTACTTTACTGAATATGATGCAGTAGCAGTAAAGTGTTACACTATTCCTCCAAGAGGCCAGTGTAAGTCCCATGTCAATATTGCCAAGATTAGCTTCCATAGACAAGACCTCCCCCATGAGGTTTATATTGGTGGATTGTCTTATCATATCCGACAATATCAACCCCTTCCTTGTCAATGTCAGAAGTGTTGGCTTTTGGCTACCCAGCTAAACATTGTCGCTCCATAGCCCACTGCCCTCTATGAGCCCAACCTGGTCATGACCATTCAGATTGCCCTGTTCCATGGTGCCAATCGTGTGTACATTGCCTTGCTGATAATGAGTTAACTATAATTTCAAATGTGAGGTAGCAATCCTCAGATTTAAACTAGGCCTCACTCTATATGAGGCCAGACAGGAAGGTTTTCTCTCTCAACTTATTCCAAAACAGTCCTTTGCTCTGCTCCCCCACCATCTTCACAAGAAATTTCTAAATCTCCCTAGGTATTTCTCCCTTATACCTTAAACCTACGTCCTATGTCTGCTCACCCTATCCCCCAGTCAAATTCATTTTCCAGTCTAAATCCAGATACTCCAATCTCCACCATTTCCCCAATACCTACCCCTCCTCCTCACTTTATTTGTCGTACCAGGCAACCTAAACATTCCACTCCACCCTCTCCTACTACATTCTCTTCTGCACCTTCCTCCTCTTCTGTTCCTCAGAGATCTATCTCTTCTTTTCCTCCTCATAAGAGAACCTTTCTTTCTCAGTCCCCTTTACCCAACTCCCCTGCAGAAACCCTTGAAGACATCCAAAACTTCCTAAAGATGACGCAAGGGAACACTTCGCTCCCTCAGCCACCCCCCAATCCCTCTGTTCCTACTCCTACATTTAAAGTATTTGCAGATATCCATCCTCCTCCTCCTCATGTTCCCTCTACCCCCTTTCCTCCTACCTGCTCCCAACATACCCCACTCTCTCTACTACTTCCACTTGAATACTCACACGAATCCCCTCTATCACAACAGTCTCCTTCTCCAGATACTCTTCCTGATACTTCACCAACTTTCCCAGTCCCCCTTTATCATCTCCTGGATTCTTCCCTTCCTATTTCTCCAACAGCCACCTCTGTTTTCCTTGAACAATGCCCCTGTTCCTTCCCCACTCATAGATACACTGCAATTCACTCAGTAGCTCTACCCCCTTATATTCCCCCTACCCCTTCCCAAAATACCTCATCCTCTCAGCTACTTCACCTACTCCTGATCCTTTATCTCAACCCTCAGATACCTAATTCCCTACTACTAAGACAACCATATCTACCATTTTCACCTATTATCCCTATTCCTTCCCCAGTCACAGATACAATGCAATTCACTTAATTGCTCTACCTCCTTAACCTTTCCCATTTAACTAATCACTGCTCTACTTCACTTACTTCCCTCCTTTCCCTTTTTCGTTATCATACTTCCCTATAACACCATCTAACACCTTCCCCTCTCCCCGGATACTTTTACTTTTTCAACAGCTACCTCTATTCTTCCTTGAACATTTTTCTATACCTTTCCATAGTAATAGATACACTATAAATTTTCCGCCTACCTCCTTAACCCTCCCCTTTCTACTAATTTCTGCTCTAGTTCACTTACTTCCCCTTTTTCCTTTTCACTACCATACTATCCTATAATGCTGTCAAACCTTAGACATCTTACATATTTCATTGTAATCTTTAACTTTCCTATGCCCTTTCTGACTTTACCATAGTGCTATATGACCTTTGATGTTTAGCACATTTATTTTCAAACATTAAACAAACATTACTGGAAAATGAGGGATGTTCATTTTGTAGTGATAGCCATACCACAGAGCCATGAAAAGTACTATTAACAGGAGGAAATGTATTCCCATGTTCTAAATCACATATATATCTCACTTTAGAAAACAAGTGTTTTTTCTTATCACATGTTAGACCAGTGGTTCCCAACTTTTTTGAAGCAACCCCAATCATGCACCTCCAGACATGACCACAATCCCAGTCTGTTTTACAATGTATAGGCTTATATTGTATTTTATTGTATTATATTATCATATTTATGTTATTTATAATATTCACATTAATCATTTGACAAACATAAATCTGCAATTATGATTGTATTTTCTTTTCTTTTTTTACTGCATTTTGAATTGTGTAATAATAAGGGAAAATTTAGCCATTTGCTCACAATCAACATGTGACTATGTATATCTTGAAATCTCAAAATTGAGATTTAACCACATCATATTTTGAGGGCTTGGTGACCCCAGGAGAAATGCTTGGTGACCCCACTTCGGATTGCAACCCTAGGGTTGGGAAAGGCATTAAGCATTCCATTAAGCCAGCATTTTCCTGATCTGTGCATATTTGCTGCATGTTGGAAATCAAATCCAAATTTTAGAAAGGTGATGGCAAATGTTTTTTTTCTTCTTCTTTTTTATGGTAAACCACCACTGCAAGCTTAAGTAGTATCCCGCGCAAAGAATGTCTTCAATAACACTTCTCGTAATTTAGTGTTCTTCTCATAATTTAGTCATTAAGTAAGAATTTACACAGACTTCTTAGAGGCAGCATATTTATTATACAAAATAATATGAAATATTCATCACAGATCTTTCAGTACATATTATTTACAATTCATTAATTACATTAATCATTAATACAAAAGGAAGCTTTATTTAACATTATCGCTATTGAAAGTAACCCAATATTTCTAGAAATAAATCATTAATGATGTTGTATGAAGACTTAACAATTTGATATTTTTGACTTCTCAGCAAATTGTTTGGAAGTATTATGACAGGGATGACCACCAGAAAATGCAGCAAGGAACCCAGAAGCCTGATGAGTTTGTGCAGCCGACCAGGGTGACGTCTAGGTAGGTAGCAGTGGTTAGGCCTATGTTGACTTCAAAACTGATTCTTGTGGTTGCTTTTGTATTACTATCATCATCTCCATTTTCATTTATCTTTTATTATTATTGTGATGATGATAATGACCTTATAAATTATTTGGACATTCATATTTTTGGCCAAAAACTAACTCCATCACTACAGAAGTTTTAAAATCATTAAAAGCACAGTGCTCACTTATTTTCCTTGGAGATTCAACCACCATTAATAATTCAACACCCAGGGAGTACGTCCAAACTGATGTCTTTGGAGGAGAACTCCTGAAAATATTCTCTAGTGAAGAGAGCAAAGCTAAAGAGATTGTGGAGTCGGCATGCCCAGTGTAGGATGCCACACATGCTCGAGAGACACAGCAGACGGTGGTGCAGCCTCCAGGCAATGCCTTTGTGGAG